TCGAAGAACACCAGTTACAAAAAGCACATACCCATCTTTTCTTGTTCGTGAGCATTCCAATCAGGTGACTCATGGCCCAAGTCTAGGAGGTGGGACGGGAGTTCTGCACTGATTGGAGCACTGCCCACCCAAACTCTACATCATCTCTAGACTGCTGTATGATTGCACAGAGTGCAGCAAAGATATGTAATGGAAGAAGCCTGGACCCTAGCGGGGTGTGCCGTGAGTGGAGGTGGGGATATACCCACGAGGCCGTCGCATTCCTTGATACAGGACACTATCCATGTAGAGATATAATGAGACGATATTGGCTGGCCTGTCATTCTGTCCTCCGTGAGAAAGAGCTGTGGTGACTTCCTAAAGAGTTTCATTCTATCAATGTAAAAGGCCAGCACCCTACAGATGTCAGGAGTATGGAGACTCTGTTCTCTAGCACTAGAGTGTGGCGTAGGGTAAAACACCAGCAGAAAGATGTACCGCCTTTGGCAGGAAGGCCACATGTGGGCAGAGTTGAACCTGGGCCTTAAAAAGGTAGTTTACTGAGGCTCTGCCAAGAGAGCTCTCAGCTCTGAGACTATCCTTGTGGAAGTAACAGCAACCAGAAACACTACCTTATAAGAAAGGTATAGGAGGAAACAAGTGGCTAGAGGTTCAAATGGAGGCCCCATGAGTCTTGAAACAACTGGATTAAGGAACCAGGGAAAGGGAGGTTGATGGATCTGGGGGGTAGTCTTTCCAAGCACAGCTGGAATCAATTAACTAATGAGTTTGAGAATACAGATGAGCCCTGCTCCCCCAGATGGAATGCTGAAATGGCAGCCAAGTGAACCGTTGTGGAGGATTGTCTATAGATGTTGCTGTGTAAGGCTGAGAAGGTAATCCAGAATTAGAGGCATAGATACCTGCAATGAGGAGACACTATGCTGAATAGACTAGACAGAGAACCTCTTCCACTTGGTAAGGTACTTAGCCCGTGTGAATGCCTTTCTTCTACCAAGGAGGACTTGCCTGACCTGGTCTGAGCAGGACATCTCCAATGGGGTCAGCCTCGGAGTTTTCAGGCCATGAAGTGCAATATCTGCTGGTCTGGATGGAGATGCCCAGGTTCCCATGTCAGCAAATCTGGGTGGAATGGCAGGGTTATTGTATCCTGCACTGACATTTCTAGCAGAGACATGTACCAATGTTGATTCACACAGGCTGCTGCGATCAATAGGACATAAGGCTCTTCCCTCCTGATCTTGAGTAGTACTTTGTGAATGAGCCATATGGATTGGAAGGCATACAGTAGAGGGTCCAACCATAGAAGGAGAAACACATCTGCCATTGACCCTGGGCTCTGGTTCTGGAAGGAGCAGAACTGCTGGCACCTCCGGTTGGATTTCATGGTGAATGGGTCCATTTAGGGAAAACCCCAGCTTTGGTAGATTAAGATCATGACATCTGGATGCAGAGACCATTTGTCGCCCTGAAATGACCTCCTGAGGCAATCTGCCAATTCATTCTGCATCTCCAGTAGATATGAAGCTTGCAGAAGAATAAAATGTTTTAAACAGAAGTCCCAGAGAAGGAGGGCTTCTTAGCACAGGGGAGAGGAACATCACCATTGTATTGTCCATCATGACTGACACACAATGTCCTGACAAGTGAGACTGGAAGGCCTGACAAGCTAGGCAAACTGCCCCTTGCTCCCTGGCATTGATGTGTAGTCTCAAATTGTCTGGGGACCAAAGACCCTGCATCTAGAGACCCCCAGATGAGCTCCCCAACCTAAGTCTAAGGTGTCTGTAACCAGCATTATTGATGGTTGGGTGCCCAGTGCTGGGGGGTGAGGGGAAGAGAGGGCAGTGTGCTGCCCTACCTCCCTGTGATGTGGGGGGGGGGAGGGGTCTAGGCTCCCATGAAGGCAGGGCCTTGCCAGAAGGGGCAGGGCTGGGGCTAAAGGCTTGCCTCCCCTAGCCCTACCTTCATTCAATCGCCCAAGCAGGTAGACGTGTTGGAGCAGCTTGAGACAGTTACTCACTGTGGTTATGGGGAACCAATGTAGAGTGAAAATGAGGTCAGATAGAAGTTCAAACCTAAACTGAGGCAGAAATGCCCTGGCTTGAGTTGATTCCAGGACTGCCTCTATAAAAACTCTATTCTCTGAACTGGGAACAGAGTGGTTTTCCCTTCATTCCTGGACATAATAAAAATGAATGAAACACTAGCTGAATGATGGAGCAGGCTCTGACCAGCCAATCGTGGAGGTAAGGAAACATTTGAATGTGATGTCTATGAAGGTAAGCTGCAGACATCACCATGCACTTGGGGAAAAATGCAGGGAGCTGCCAATAGGCCAAAAGGAAGTACAGGCAGTCCCCGGGTTACGTACAAGATAGGGACTGTAGGTTTGTTCTTAAGTTGAATTTGTATGTAAGTCGGAACTGGTACATATTGTAGGGGAAACTCTAGCCAAACATTTCTCCAGAGCTCAGTTTTATTCTCCCACACCTCACTTCCCTCAGGCTTTATTCTCAAGCTGAGGTGTCTGCTGAGAAAAGCCGCTCCACCTCTCCCTGGTCTGCTGGGGTGGGGGGGCGCTAGCTTCGCATCTCCCTGGTCTGCTGGGGGGAAGCGGCTAGTGCGGGGTTGCCTCACCCCGTTTGTAAGTAGGGATCCGATGTAAGTCGGATCCATGTAACCCGGGGACTGCCTGTACTATGAATTAGTAGTGAATGCCATTCACCACAAACCTCAGGTAATTCCTGTACGCCTGTGTGATTGCTATCTGATAGTAAGTGCTCTTTAAGTCGAGGGTGGCATCCCAGTCTGCCAGATCCAATTACGGGATAGTGGAGGTGATCACTTCACATTGGGTCGGTGTCGCTGATCACTTCTTCTCCCAGAAAACCCAGCCCTGGCAAAACATGAGGGTCCTTTAGGGCACAGACAAGCCTGATAAGATCTTGTCAGGCAAGGAAGAGAATGATTATGGCAACAGAGGTGGCTGCTCTCTACCATCGCCCCCAGCAGGGTCTCTATGGCCTGTCGGAACCAGCAATGTATAAAGGCCCAGTGCTATTGATGGTATAGCAGACGATGCTGCTGAAGCCATCCTGGACAAAGTCTGAGTGTCCTGATGTTGAGCGCACTGTCGGTGCCAGTGTTGGTTGCAAATCCAACAGCACGATTGGTGCCAGGACTGATGTTGGTGCCAGGGTTGAAATATTCAGAGCATTCACAACCCCTGAAGTTGCAGCGATTGTGAGCTGCTCTGGTGCTGGTGTGGTTTGCACCGGTGCCATGCTTGGTGCTGGAGCCACTGATTGTGAGCAGTATTCCATGGCTTGTGGAGGTCTGAAAGTCATTGATGCCACACACCAGAGCATGAACCCTGCCCTGACCTTGGTGAAAGGCTCCTTAGCTCCACAATGGCCACTGTGGAGAGTTCTGCCATTGGGAGTGGTAAGACCTCCTGTAGTGCAAAGTTGAGGCCCTGCACCACTGTACCCCGATCCATAGGAATCAGACTCCGACTCTGATATGGAGTAAGGAGACCACGTGGGAGCTGCACCTCTGGATGTTAATCTTACAGAGGTGGGAGATCTGCCACAGTCCCTTAAAGGATACGGAGAGGGAAATCTAGTTGGCATCATCATCAGTTTCCCCTTGGACTGCATTGGGGGCTGCAGTGCTGATACAGTGACCTGAGGGTGGTAAATCTGGTGCCATAAGGAGCATCAAATTCTGGGCTTCATGAAACGCCTCCAGCATGGAGGGCGTGGGTAAGCATCCTGAAGGCATTAGTGAGCTAGGCTGGCCAGGACTCGACTGCCTGGGATGGACACTATTCAACACGGTCTCAGCCAGCATCTTGGTGCTGTGGCCCAACTGTGGTGCCTGCACCAGTCAATCTGAGGGCCATAAAGTTGGAGAGTGGCCCTTGACCCTCCTTTTCTTCTGGCCTGGTGCCTGGGAGTGGTGCCAAGAGCAAGTATGATACTGAACAGTGACATGCAAGGCCAGTCTCTGCCAGAGTCCTTCCTCAGCACCATCTCTTTCAAGGTGGATGCCGTAGCATTGTAGACAGATGAAGACGAGTGAGGCGCTGGATCCACAGTGCTTGGATCTGACTGAGGTGTCAGAGCCGTTCTCATGAGCAGTCTTTTTGGTGACCCCTGCCCAGGCATTCCAGACAGGAGGAGTGAGTGTCACTTTCAGATGTGTGTTGGTGCACAATGGACAAGCCTTGAAACCTAGAGAACGAAGCATGCCCTGGGAATGACATTGACAGGATGGTGTGTGGGGGGGGGGACACGCTAACAACTTGTCCTAAGAATAATGAAGCTTAACTAAACTTTTAACCTGTGAACCAACTACTAAACTATATATGAAGACTGAGAAAATTGCTAGTCCACTTGTGAGGCAAGAGACAAGCAAGGGGAAGTCCCAGCTACTGTCACTGGCAGTAAAAAGGAACTGAGGAGGGGGTCAGCAAGGCACCAATCCATTATGGCACCAATCCACCGGCACCCAGACCAATCCTATGGCTAACTGCTAAGGGAAAAATCTTCCGGCTGCTGTGCACGTGAGTGTGCGCACCCCTGATTAGAATGCACATGAACAAGCACCCAAAGAAGAACGGATAATTCTGGGAGTTTTTTCCCCTTCCTGACTGGTGAAGCCACTCAGCAGCTCAAAGTGATGACAGCTGCAGAGGTAATGCACACGATAACTAATAATGCAATCCAGTGGCTAGAAGCTGAAGCCAGAAAAACTTCAAATTGGAAATCAGATGCCCATTTTTAACACTAAGGGTAATTAAATTCAGGAATGGCTTACAAGGGCTGAGGTGAATTCCTCGTCCCAACTGAATGCCTTTTCAAAAGTTGCCCGCTGTAGTTCAAGCACAAATCATTATGCTTGATTCAGGAATACTGAGTAAAAATTGTACCCCTGCCTTATGCAGGTAATCAGTTGAGACCGTAAACGAACCCTTAAAAATTAATAAATATTACCATTTTGCAGGAGAAATTGTATAGCATCAATATGACCTCTGTGGCTGGTAATATATAATGCCACAAATGCTCGATGCGCGATCCATTCCTTTCTCTCTGCTGGTCCCATTAACTGTGAATTTGGAGTGCTGCTCTCTGAGCCTTTTACAACTCCTAAACCTATTAGCTGGAAAAAAAAATGCAAATATCAGATACATACAGACTGATCATTCAATCAATTCGTATAGTAAGGGCACATAGGGTACGTCTACACAGCAGGGTTAAAGTCGAATTAAGCTACGCAACTTTAGCTATGTCAATTGTGTGGCTCAAATCGAAACAGCTTAATTTGGCTTTTGGTGCTGTCTACACAGCAAGAAGTCGAAGGTAGAATATTCTTCCTTCAACTTCCTTTGCTCCTCATGAAATGAGGGTTACCGTGAATCGGAGTAAGAAGTCCTCCAGCTCGCCATTATTTCAAAATAAAAGCTTGTAGTGTAAACCACACAATGTTATTTTGGAATTATGTCAGTTATTCCAAAATAACGCAGCTGTGTAGACATAGTCACAGATACCTATAAAGACTCAAACTATAGGGTTTTGCATTCTAAACTTGAAGTGAGCCTTGGCAGGCAGCTGATCAGAAAAGATTTTCCCTCCCACCCACCTCCATAGAAAAATGTTGTGGTTTTGGTGAAAAATCAAAAGCCAAAAATACAGTATTTCAATTCTGAAATGCTGCCATGGTGCCTCATGGGATTTGTAGTTTTGGAGCTTAATGCTCTGTCTCCTGAATAGGCTGGGTTCTCGGGTCAGATGACATGTGCCATGACGCACCATCATCATCCATCCTGGTCAAGGGAGACTACGAATCATAGGAGTTATAGGGTAATTTTGTTGAAAACCCAATTTTTGGTCGAAAAAAGTTGTCAGAAATGTTTTGACCAGCTAAAATGATAATTCATAAAATAATACACTGTGTGTTTCATTTCAAAAGACACCATGGCATTGTGTGGCCCACCTCTATATTGCCCAGTGGGTACAGAATCAGTAGGAATTTTGAGTGCAAAAGGAACATGAATCAGGACTTTAAAGTGAAATATATTATGAACTATTTCACTTTACCTAACAGTGAAATAGACACCTTTCGGTCAAAACATAGCAGCTGTTTACAACTGCATTGCAACATTACACAACCGTGTAGGACAGTAAGTGAAGAACACCTAGTATCCATATCCAACCACTGGGGAAAGGTAGATGAGAAGAATGTAATTAGCCAAGTTGGAATGTAGCCAAGACAACCAGATTAAAGAACCCTCCTACCATGCCATGGGATGTCATGACCACAGTTAGTCAGGATCTTCAATTTGCAGCACAATCCCCTCTAATTCAGAGAGAAGAATGCCATCTTCTGAATCACTGAAGACCATGTGTTCCACAGAGGTCTCCCACCTCAGACCTGACCTAGCCAAAGCCTACTTAGCTAGTCAAAAATTACAGCTCATGATGGTATGGCTGTAGATCTCCCAGGAAGCATGGAGATGCATATTTTGTACAATAGCCCCTCCCTTCTGTTGATTTTGAAAGCTTCATGAGCTTTGAAGGCGTCCTTAGCCAACTGCCTAGAATGGATTCTATGATTCAGGAGTTAGTGGATCAAGGACCATATGAGCTGGGCTATATTCACAGCTCTACTATTGACTCACATGACTTTCGGCAACTTACATATTTTGTGTGCCCCAGCATCCCCTAGCTCTACTATTATAATAAAGGTTTACTCCCCTTTCTAAAGCTCTTGGTGATATATAGATGAAAAGTGTGATGTAAATATGAAGTATTATTATTGTTGCTACCCACAGGAAAAGCAGGGGGATAAAAAGTGTCAGAAGAGAGGAGATATTTAAAATAGTGGCAATGTGTAATGAGAAATACTCTCCCATGTGTTGGAATATTAAATAAATAGTAGTATGATTGTAGGCAGGGGAAAGAATTGGGAACTACCACTACCAAAAAAAATTAAAATAAAAAGTCAAATTGTATTGGTGACAAAAGGAAGCCCACAACAACTAAGGCCATAGCTTAACAAAAGAAGCAGGTTGGCATCAAAGATCTTCTCCCCTGAGCTTCTTCTCAAAGCTGTTCATCTTCACTGCATTCCCCAATTGTCTATACACTTTCCTCAGAAATGGATGGATGTACTGAACCTCGGAGTATTAATGTGGTCAACATTTCACTGGATTTTACCATTAGCAGGTGTTCTAGATCATCCTGTTGGCATTTGACCTAAAACCCCATTTACAGCCTCTCCACAATTTGCTGCTCTCAGAACACATTGATCTAGTACATGAATCTTTTAACAGCCTCCCCTTTTGCAATTTCTGTACAATGCACACCCCCTCATTTACAAAAGCAATGGAAGCAACCTGGGCAAGATCTCCTTCAGCAGCTGCTGCCACAAGAAGCCCCCAGTCATCTTGTCGCCAGATGCTTATCCTAATTGTTCCGCCAGGGACAATGTCATTGTACTTAAATGTAGACTCATCTGGCAGATCTACTGGAGGAAATAAAGAAAAACACATACACATACAAGAAGTCAAGATACCATTTGCAAAGAGCTGGGCTATTGAGAGAAATGAATATGAACATCAACTGGGGACATTCCCTGGCCATGAGACGACGGATATCATTTAAAAGATCTCTCCGTTTTTCTCTGCTAAACAGGACTTTGATCTGGCATTACTGGTCACTCATTTATTATTTAATAAGTAGGTTGCAATAGCACCTAGATCAATGCCTCATTATGCTGGTGCTGTGCAAACACAAACTTCGGGCAGGGGGCTGGACTCGATGACCTCCTGAGATCTCTTCCAACCCTTGATTCTATGATTCAAACACAGGTTCCTTGCCTGGAATAGTTTATAATTTAAAACCCTGGTTCTGCAAAAGGGTCCATCTAGGTAGGCTCATTTCAACACAGAGCTCACTGAAAGATCAGAACCTAAGATGACACATAACATATGAGAGGTGGAATGGTGGGAGGAAGGTAAGAAGTGACGAGGGATACAGTCAAAATACATACAGTGTGTATGTGTCTGGTGCATGTGTGTCACACATCCTGTTTGTTTATTCTAAAAACAAAGTGCCTAGGACAGAGAGGGGAAAAGAGCTGTTTGTTTTGAAAATAGGTGTTAAGGTAGAGGTGAACTTTGAGTAGGGGACCCCAACAAACATTACTAGAGACTCTCAAAAAATATTAAGTCTGACAGCAAAAGTAACAGTTGATAGTAATCGCTGGGTTCTAAACAGCAGCAGGGAAACAGTCCAAGAATCTTGTTCATTACACTGTGCTGCAGGTTGGCCTGTCTGCAGACTGAAGAAGAGGTCTCTACTTCAGTTTGCACTCTTGTTCACACTGGAAGGGTTTCGCCACAGCCTTAAGCACAGAGGCAATTTAAAAAAAAATAGCGAAAGGTTGAATTCTGCCAAAATGGACAGCTCACCTACTTGGGAAAGCCACCAACCAGCTATGTATTATTGGGATGTCTAAATCTCACAGGGTATCCCAGAGATGGTAGAGGAATGGCTTAAGAGTTGGAGCAGATGGGTTCCAGGTATGGAAAGGGGAAAAAAGAATGAAGGTCTGGGATCTTCATCCAGGCAGTAACATCACTGGAATTGGCGGGTGGCGCCTGATCTTAAAGTGGGGACATTGGTTGTAGGAACCCAGGCTGAAGACCCCCCAGGAAGATAGGAGTCCCAACCTTCATCCAGATACTGAAGACGCTGGAAATGCAGGGGGACACCAGTCAGCAGCTCCAGGTGGTGCTTCAGCTTCCTCACAGTCAAGCCTTGGTAGCACCCAGACAACGGGAAAGTCTCGCTAGTTTCAACCAGGTGGAGTTTGATGCTGAAGAACCGGAGGGGCAAGCTACTCAGGGCTGTGTCATGAGACTTTCCACGCTTGGGTTGAGGGCTGGACCAAAAGGCAGGGTCAGGGTTGGACTTGTTGGTGGCCATTCTCTCCGTCTGCCAATGGGCCAGTTGCTATTAAACACCCTCCAAGTGAAGTTTCCTGGGAAGCAACCACATGTCCTAGTATGTCTAGGCAGTATGAACAATGTGGCTCAGATGAACACCCTACATATGACATCATAGGGAACTAGGCAGCTTAAGTATGATGTCATGCTGCAATCACAGAGGTATGGGGTGTATTACTGTACATATGTGCTGTCTAGGCTCATGCATTGTGATTAAAGCAGGACCTATTTGCTCAGTCTCGTCCCCCCTAATTTCACTGATGATGACAAATAGCTTGGAGTTGGCTGGAGGGCAGCCAGGGAAGGAGAGAACCTGTTGGAAGCAGTAACTCAGCAAACTCTTTTCCTTCTTGCATCTGACGTCTCTGTTCTGCTTGACTGGAGCCCTTCCCTTCTCCCAGCTCAAAGGGCAAAGGCAGGAACCTTGCAGTGTAGCAGTTGCGACAGTGGATGAGGAGTTCAGGCTCCTCATCAGCAACAGCTTCGCCTCCTTCACAGAAGCCGGGGGTAGGGAGGAGAGGGGATGACACGTGGAGATTGATCATTTATGATAATGTGGAGGAATCTGAGGTGAAGGCAGGAATGGGGAACATACACAGTGGGTCCTTGAAGCTGAGCAAAGGAGCACATTGGGCGAGGAACCCAAGAGAGGACAAAGGGACTGTGGGGATAAATCCAGGGGAGAGCTGGGGAAGGAATGCAGGAGCACCTTGAGAAGAGGAGACAAGTAGAGAGGACGATGGGATCAGAAGCAGTAAGTACAGCTGGGGCGAAGTATGTCAGACCTTTGTAACTCATTTATGGAGAGACACAGGGAACTAGGAGAGGTGGGAAAGAAATGGATGACAGATCTTAAGAGCAACATGGAGATGGGTGAAAGCTAGTAACCAGCTTCCTACCTGTGATAGGGTGTTCACCTCCGCAAGCCTAGAAGGGGGAACTCCCCCACACTGCACCTGGAAGAGGAGCCAGGAAGCAGGATGAAGCTCAGGGAGATGGGAACAACAGGGACCTGAACCAAGCCCTATAGCTGAGAGCAACTGGGAACTATTAGGAAATAGTCTGCAGTCACTCCCTGCAAAAAGGAAGGTGCGTTTGAGACTACAGAGACCAGTAGCCTACAGATTCTGCCTGGGAGGAGGGAGTTTGGGCAGGCAAACTGCGGAGGCCAGAAAGATAGGAGAGGGCTCAGGGAAAGGTAGTAAGGTCCAGGAGAGAACAGACCTTGGCTGCTGATGAAAGAGGCCTTGAGCTGGAATCCAAAGTAAAGGGCAGGCCCAGGGTCTCCTGCCAGCCATGGAAGAAGTGGCATGGAGAAATGAAGGGGAAGACTGCCTGAGACTGTTACCAAGAAAAAACTTTGATACCCTGGAAGAGGAAAACATGCAGAGTGATGAAGAGGCCAAGTCATGAAGAGGAAGTGGCAGGTCCTAGAGCAAGAGGGGCTGCAGGGTAAGAGAAGAAATTGGGTGGAGAGACCATCAGGAGGGAGCAGCACCCGGAAATAGCTAAACCTCAGATAGGCCAGGAGGAGGAAGGGCCCCTAGGGGTGAATGGACCTTAGGATACCCTCCTTTCTCCCACCCCACCTTCTCACCCAGTCCCCTCGTCTCTTAGGCTCCCAAGGGTCAGTCCTGGGACCAATCTTGTTCAACTTATTCATAAATGATCTGGAGAAAGGGGTAAGCAGTGAAGTGGTAAAGTTTGCAGACCATACTAAACTGTTTAAGATAGTCAAGACAGAAGCAGACTGCGAAGAACTTCAAAAAGATCTCACCAAACTGAGTGAATGGGAAACAAAATGGCAAATTAAATGTAATGTGGATAAATGTAAAGTAATGCACATTGGAAAAGATAACCCCAACTATACGTACAGTATGATGGGGGCTAATTTGGCTATGACAAATCAGGAAAGAGATCTTGGAGTTATCGTGGATAGTTCTCTGAAAACTTCCACACAGTGTGCAGTGGCGGTCAAAAAGGCAAATAGGATATTAGGAATTATAAAGAAAGGGATAGAAAATAAGACACAGAATATCTTACTGCCCCTGTATAAAACTATGGTACGCCCACATCTTGAATACTGTGTACAGATGTGGTCTCCTCACCTAAAAAAAAGATATTTTGGCCTTGGAAAGGGTTCAGAAAAGGGCAACTAAAATGATTGGGGGTTTGGAACGGGTCCCATATGAAGAGAGGCTAAAGTGACTAGTACTTTTCAGTTTAGAAAAGAGGAGACTGAGGGGGGGATATGATAGAGGTATATAAAATCATGAGTGGTGTGGAGAGGCTGAATAAAGAAAAGTTATTTATTAGTTCCCATAATAGAAGAACTAGACGACACCAAATAAAATTAATGGGTAGTAGGTTTAAAACTAAAAAAAGAAAGTTCTTCACACAGCGTATAGACAACCTATGGAATTCCTTGCCAGAGGGGGCTGTGAAGACTATAACAGAGTTTAAAGAGAAGCTAGATAATTTCATGGAAGTTAGGTCCATAAAAGGCTATTAGCCAGGGGATAGAAATGGGGTCCTTAGCCTCTGTTTGTCAGAGGCTGGGGATGGATGGCACGAGACAAATCGCTTGATCACTGTCTTTGGTCCACCCCCTCTGGGGCACCTGGCGCTGGCCACTGTCAGCAGGCAGGCTACTGGGCTAGATGGACCTTTGGTCTGACCCAGTACGGCCATTCTTATGTTCTTACCTACACTGCAGGTAGCTATTCTGCATCTTAAAAGCAAGTCCATTATATTGAAATATAACAGACTTGCTATTCCCATGTCCCTGAAAACCTCATTGCACGAGGGAAAAGAGACGTTTTGGAATAGTGCTTTATTTCAAAATTTGGCACTGGGTAGACAGCGCCAAGTTTCAAAATAAGCTATTTCGAAATAAGATAAAAATAAGTTACGCGATTTGCATAGTGCAAATTGCGTAGCTTATTTCAAGGTAAGGGTGCTGTGGACATACACCCTTATATGGAAAACTTCACATCGATGCACTATTAAAAATATCAAATATAGAAAAAAAGTGAGAAAATTGCTCCTACAACAACATTAACTCTGAAATGTTGCACAAATGCACAAGGATATTTTATATTCTTGTATTCATTCAGCTGCGTGTGGTTTATTTTTAACCATATAATTACCTCTTTATACCATCTAGTACTAAGGGGAAGAAAAGTCACATATACTATTTATGACATGAGGCAATTACCACACAGACATTTCATAAAACAGTCATAAGATTTATTGAGATAAATACAACAGAAAGTTACATAGATTCTAAATTCTGGCAAATCAGTGGCACTTCCAGAGTGTCTCCACTTATTTGGGCTCTAAACACTGTTACAGATAAAAATTGCCACTAGGGCAGTATCCTGTTAGTTGTCAAGTGTGTATAATGTATAGTGGATACAGTGAGTCTGAATTCTAAGCAACATGACGAGCATGCTTTGGATTACAAGTGCCTGAATTTTCTATAGCATCCAAGCAATATTGCACCACTAATGTTATTCTCATGTCCTTTGGCCAAGTGTGTTTTAGAGCAATATTCTTGCTGCTTTTGTGAAAGTGGACAGACTACCTCACTTGCTCCCTCTGGCTTCTAAAATACAGTTTTTGCATAATTTAAACAACCCAGAGAATTGCATATGAATACCCAGCTTTAATTTTCATTGTAACCATTTGACTAGTGTGAGTGGTAAAGTGCAGTCTCAAGTTATGCTGAAGTCATATTTCCATTATAAAATGAAAACAAAATACGCACCTTGGAAAAAGTGAGTTAGTTTAATAGAACTGCATGTTGTCTGAAGTTAAAAGGTTTATGTTGGTCTCATCTGGTGCATGCAGCTATTGAGTTTTAACACATTTTTAAAAGCTCTCCTAAAAAAAAAACCCCAAATCACATCATTTAAAATGGACATGAATTTCTGGAGTTATAAAGGTGCTAAAAAAGATTTCACACACATTTTTGGTTTGGACATTTAGTGATCTTAGTTGGTGCCTTGCAAGTGATTCTAAGAATACCATCATGAAAAACAATCTCACCTTTCCACAGACACAAAGAAATTTATGTTTTCCAGTAAGTTATTGCAAGATAAGGTCATTTTAAAGATGATTATGGAAGCAGAAAGCTGGGTTGTATTAATGTTCAAAGTAACCAGTTTATATACAGTACATGTAAAATATCTATCTACACTTTAAAAAGTTATGATCAGTGCTGAGAAATTTAGCAACCTGTTAACAATCAATAAAAATAAAACCTGGTTGGAACAATCTTAGAAAATTTGAACAGTTTAAAAAATACTAATATAATGTTAGCATTAGAAAAAGATATTAAAACTACAAAAAAAACTAACTTGCATTTTTTTGCTGAGAAATTGCAGTCATAAAAATTGGTTTGCATTGAAGAGGCATTTGTTTTAAATTATATAAAAAAATTAAGGGTGAAACTTGTGGAATTTACAGAGCTTAAACTGTTTTCTGAAATAGCAATAATAGATTTCTGCCTATAGTTTCTAAAAGTATCTTATGGTCTTGCAAGCAAACAATTTATTACAAATACTATACATTATAATGCAAAACTAGTTTGGTAAATATTTATACAAAATTAAATGCTCAAAAGCAAACAAACAAACCCCCACATAGGAATCAGGCTTGGAAAGCTACTTGCTGTGAGGCTGACAATCCAGTTTTAAAACAACTTCCAGACACTATAACTAATTCATATCATAACAATGAAATAAAGTGGATAGAACTATTCTGACACTGGTCTGTTTACACATTAGGCAAATGTTGAATGCAGTAATTTACTTGCCATTAAAATGAGATCCATTTCCCCATAATACAATAATTAAACACTTGCTTTCGGCCAAAGAATGTGTTTCTGATTCAAAGCCCACTGACTTCACTGGGTTTTGGATCAGGTCCTGTATTAGTTCTAGTCTTTGTACACAAGGGAAGGCACAGCTGAAATAAGAAGGGCCCAACAAAGAGAATCAGTTTTGTAGATTGTGACAATTTTTCCAGAGCTACCAGGTTTAGTGCAGAGGACTTCATCCTACTTTTTTTAGGATGAAAAGTTCCTGTTTAGATATGAGAAGAAACCAATATACCCTCAAATTAATGTAATCTTGGTTTTCCCCATTTCATTTTTTATTTACATCCAAAGAATGATAAAAAGAAATACCATACTACAAACAGAATTTATAGAATAAAATAAGTCAACTTTTGTACTTTGGAAATCTGCATTATATGGAAATGTACACAGACCATAAAAGAAGAACCTCTCTCTCTCTCTTATTACAGTTCAGAACGCCAGAGTCTAGGGATCTAAATGCCAAACCAGAGAGAGTGTTTTTCATACCATAGTTTGTGGAGGGGTGGGGAGGGAGGGAGGGATGTTATCTTCTTATTGGAGAGATTTCACATAATTTGTGAACTTTGAGTTCCTTTAATGAAATGTCCTTTAATTAGCTATTTCCAGTTTGCGGAGTTAACAGTCCATGTATATTACCCCTCAGTGCTAGCAGTGAAAAAAGGAGACCAAGTATTAACAGCAGGAAATGAGGGGAAAAGTTAATCATAATACAGTTTACAAAAGGCAAAGCAATAAAAAGTGACCAATATACAGAGAAAGTCAACCCTTCTGATTTTAAAAGCATCACATGTATATTAAAAGTAGAAGCAAGCCATGCTTTAGTTCCAACAAGCCACCTGTGTTATATTAAGTAAAATGGCTTCTATGATTTTCACTGATGTGGGATTATATTTTTTTAATTATTTTACTAAGTTTCAGGAGCTATTCACATATATACATTTTTCAGGTAAATAATAAAATGCAATACTATAAACAAAATTATAAAAACCATAATAAAGTGAGAGAAGCATCTATACTTATGCTTATTAACTTTAGGTTTTAAAAACTTACAAGCTTAGAGGATTTCTAGCAAACCACTTTATTACTGGAATTTTTTAAAATACAGTATTTAAAAATCTATTATTGATGCTGTTGAAATGTTGCAGGTGTGCTACTCTGTAAAAGAATGTATACAATACTGGACCTTTTGTAGAGATGAGTTACAATCCATGTTTACAAAGAAAAGAATAAAAGTATGAAGGTAGTGATCCCATCTGATGCATGGCTGTAGATATAAAAGTGGTCACTGAATGAAGATAATGGAATTTCCAACAAGCCCTTTTGTAGCAGGCCAAGGAAGCAATAAATTGCTTAGTTCTATGTTCCTCCAAGAATTTGAAGTGTATCACCATTTTGATGTTCGAGGTTTGTACTAGATGAACAGTTTAGTTTTCTTTTTCAAGGGAAGTTGTGTCCATATTGGTCAGTTTTGGTTTTACAGTGGCAAAAAAAGACACATCTTGGTCTCTGTCAGACTGTAAAGCTAGAACAGTCTCTTCCACAGCTTCTAGATGAGGGCTGCCAACACTTTTAAAATAATCTAGAAGGAGTAGAAGAAAAAACAGGTTTAATCAAAGCTGTAAAGTGCTGTATACTTCCAGCATATCACAAAATTCTTTTTGACTTTTGCTCAGAAGAGAGAGAATGAAGCTTTGTTTTTTTTCTTCTTTTAATTTAAAGTTACAGATCACACAACAACATGCATAGTGGGCTTAGTGTTAGCTTCTTTCTTCATCCACATAAGTGTGTCTAACTTGGAGGCTAGCCTCTCTAGGGAAGTTAAAGCAAGCTCAGGGAGTTGAAAAAGACGGCTGTGTTTTTCTTTCTTAATTTCTTTCACTTATGACTTGGCAAAGGGAGAGATCTGTGTTGAATACTCAATATTTCTGTAAGAATTTTTTTCTTTTGCTGGCCCCCAAGTGGAAATGTACCAGCAATAAAGAAAAATTGGCAGGCTGCCATGTTCATTTTTCTAAAGAGTACTATCAAAATACTCCCATTGTCATACATGATTCTGGTGGGGAGTGGGGAAAGGCAGATTCCTGTGCATCTCCCTTTATAAAAAATTACATCAGAGACAGCTTGGATGTTTTGAGAAACACGAATATAGGAAGATGAATATGAGTGGCCATATTTGCAAGAAAGGCTGTTATACTATTCATTCTCTAAAATTGAGAAATAATTTATGAATACACCAAACGGAATTTGTGCAGAATTTTTTAAAAAATCCAATTACAAATACTTTCATTTATTTTGAACCTTTGTATATCTCATAAGCCTCTCTTCTATGGACCTACAATTTATATGTCTCTTCTTATCCTTAAATAACATCTTATATAACATGTTATGTGACTTCCTACTATAAATAACCATACAGCTTCCCTTCACCGAACAGAATATCACATCTGTGATATTATGTATGTCAAAATCATAAAAGGGTGACAAACCACAGAAGATTCACAGTGGCCTTTTAATGTTAGCAGAAAAAAAACTTCTAAAAAGAAAAATACGTCTACATTCTTTTTGCAAACTAACTGATATCAAGTACTGCACAGATTGAATTTAAATACAGGATGTCAAAGGATTTAAACAAAGGATTCCCATCTCTGTTGTACAGTAAATCTGAACATTCTTTTTATTGGTTAAGCAAGACAATTTGTGAAAAGCAGGGATATTACAGAAATGATAGAAATAATGAGAAACTAGTTCTTACATCAAAAGAACTGGTTTAGCATACCTTTCTCCAACAGCGTTTGCCTTAGAGCCTTGGCTAACAGAACCCTTACATTTGGCACAGGATCAGAAGCCAGACTTAAAAGACTAGGAAGTAAGTGTTCAACAAAATGGTCAACAGGCATACACTCTTCTTCTACTATAGCCTGTGGCGGTGAAAGCAAAACATAAGACACACTGATTATTCACCTTGCTTTATCTTTAACAAAAACAATTATCTCCTGTTCCTTTCTAGCTTTCCTCAAGTTTAACTTGTATTTTTAAAATGTTAGTTATCTGGCTGCATATTTCAGATATATTCCTGACTACTGAATGTATATTGTTCCACACAAGCAGCCTAAATTTACATTTATAACAAAGGGGAAGTTACTTGTATATATTTTTTTCTTTTAATGGCCCGTCCTTCCCTGCAAATTTCTGGAGGGACACCACAGTCAAAGTATCCAATTGACTGAATCAAGGATAAATATCATTGGATCCTTCTGCCCTACCTATATATGAATTTAGGATGTCAAGATTCATTAGAAGTTGGCTCCATCAAGTCAGTGGACTTAATATTCATCCTGGGAATCATTAACAGCTTGATTTTACTGCTCCGCTTCCAATTGCCTTGCAGCTACTAGTGTGAATCATTTCCCTGGCTAAAAGAAAATGCATGGCCTTTTCAGGGCCTACTACTGAGCACCAAACTGAAGAGTTGGGCAGTCAGTGACCACTTCCCCATCTCCCCCTCCTCTCAGTAACAAACCAGTTTAGTCACTTTAGAGACATACCTGTTCTAAAGCTCTGTGCATCTGACAACCCCCAGAAATTTAAAGAGCACATGTGACCTATATAGTCCCTGCCACCGCAAGACAATATGCTCCTGCCAGGCTCTAGCTGGGTTATACAAAACAGAGTTCATTTTCAATCTCAACTATATTTGGTTTTCTTGCCAAGAGTGCTGATAGAGGGTGCTATTTCTGAGGTTTCCTTTTATCATTTAGACACATTAATTCATACAAACATTGAACCACTCTGAACGAATAATAACATTCAGTCATTACTGATTTGGAATAGTTTTTAAATACTCTGGAGGTGAATGGCTCTATATTCCTTTAACAATTCCAATGGCCATTTCTGGTAGCATTATGAATCCTCTCAAAATATTTGTTGATACATCCATACACGTAAAAAGAGAATCTAACCTGACAGATGAAAGCAAAAGCTTGTCTTCCAATCCACCTAGAACAATGACGGAACTTTGCTACAAGTTCATTAATGAAATTTAATCCCAACGCATTTGCATTATTTGCATAAAACTTCTGTAGTATTGCTACAACCTGTAAAAAAAAAAAAATAGGGGCGACTTAGACTGAATTTAAGTGGCATCATTTTAAGAATACTATTTAGGAACACCAAAATCTATGCAGAACTATTGGCATCATTGAACTATAGCAGTGTTTATTTTGACAAAAGCTTTACTTAGATAGCACAGCTCTGAAAAACAAAGTTCAAGGGGAGAGGAGACCATTTTTAAGCTGCTTTCTGACCCAACTATCTACTCTGCTATGATCTCAAACATTGGTTTTAAAAGAATTGCTACAACAGCTCTTTGGGGTATTCGCAGTGACATTATTACTGATAAATAATAAACAAACTTTCTGTGACAGAGCAAAGTATCCTGAGATGTCTGTGATGCCAGCATGTAGACAGGTTGTCTACTCACTAAATACTATTAAACAAAACTATATTACAGCATAAAACCAAGTTGCAGGAAAGAGCAGTGAAAAATAAAATCATTTAACTAATTTTTCATGTACTAGCCTGTTCTTTTCCACGGTAGGTATATGTATTTAACAGGAAAAAACAAACACTACAGTATCCTTAATCTCTTTTATGCATATATATTCTTATCAGTAGGTTTGAACAAAAAAGTCCATAAAAACCGGGTGCATTCATTATGATTCTCCCTTTACTTTGAAATAGAGTTCTAACATAACAGATTATGGGCAAGAATTTTTCAAATCATGTTGCTCAGAAACCTCTGATTTTGCATTTGTAAAATTCATCTGAAAAAGTTTGCACAAAATCCTGACCTCATTGAAGTCAATTGGAGGTTTGTTACTAACTTCAGATGAGGCCAGGATTTCACCTTCTATCTCTGCAAGAGTGATCATACAATTGTATTGTGCCCAGAAAAAACTAAGTTTACATGGAAGATGTTGAAACTAAAGCTGCGCAATTTTTTGGAATATTTTTAAATTAAAAAACTACATTTTTCCATAGTAAAATGTATGAACTTTAAAATATATTTCAATACAAATTTTTCAAAAACCAAATCTTTTTAATCTTTTCCACTTCTTTTTTCCTCCCTGCAGTCATTTTTTGACAACTGAAATTAAAAAAAACAAAAATCCCCTTTGGAAAACAGAAATTACTTCAAAATAGTTCATGAAAAATTGTCTTTTCATTTTTTGACCGGGACTAGTTAAAACATATTTGTGTACATAGTATCTGTTGTTACAGTATAATTTCAATAAAGCATGTTGCTATTAAAATACATTTTAATAAACCTTTTTTAAAAAAGAAAAAGTAAAGTCCTGTACCAGTTTGAAGGAGATCCACCTGACTTCCGATACTTTATCTGAGCAGAGAGTTAATGCAATGTGCCTTAAGTAGTCATATACATCATTGGGGTTGTAGAGTTCTAATATTAGAATCAGCTGTCTGAAACAGAAGGGATCATTGAGTCAAAACA